GGAAGCCAGATTAAGTGTTTATGGCTGCAATTGATCTCAGGTCTTACTGTTTCCTGGCTTTGCATACTATCTGCTGAGCCATTTCCCTGCATTTAGGCCTTATCTAGTAATTTCCCTCTCAATCATTTTCTGTTTATCCTGTGTGTAGTTGGTACATATTTGTGTGCTTGTTGTCTTCCCCCATTAAAACGCCACCTAGTTGCCTGGGGATAGTATTGAAAATGAATACCACAAGTACCCAAGTAATGCTCTAAAAATACACCAAAATTAATCATAAAAAAGAAACCAACGAGAATAAGCTATAAACTCTTATATCCAGTCCAGGACTATAGTCTTATAGAACCACCCAGCAGGGATGAGTGGTCTATGTGGCAAAATTTGACTTGGGTTTCAACCACTCCCATGGCAAGATAGGTTTAGATCAGGGCACAGCCCAGCTTTCAATTAACTCAGACCTGAACAAAGGAACAAAGCAGAAGGCAGGAATTAGTTTTGGCCACTGAATTCAGAATCAGGCTGGGCCTATTCAGACTATCCCGGAGTATAATAACAGGACTAGCAGTGTGCCTGGAGGTAATGAAGTAAGAGATTTAAAAAAAAAAAATAGAACATAGAGGTAATTACAAATGACAGTGAATTTCCCTCTTTAGTGATAATGGATACATAAGAAACCCTCTGAAAATTAGCCAAAAAAGAAAAGTACTCCATGAGACTACAAGGAATACTTATTTTTTTTTTTTAACAAAAAAAGGAAAGAAAAAAATGTAAGATATGATATTAGAAACAGTCAACATGGAAAACAGATTATGAACAAAGTTGGATTGTGAAAAAAGTTGGATACCGTATTTCATGAAATCATAAACTAATACCACCCCTACCTTTTAGAACCAGAGTTCAAAATGAGATTAAAAGGATTCTGCTTATCTACTGAAACTGAAAAATAAACTTCTCAACAACATGATAGCCAAAATCCAGAGCTTCTAGGTAAGGAAGAAAAATACTATAGGCAGCCCCCAAAAAAGTCTATAAACCAAGGAACTGCATTCAGCGTCACACAAAACTTGGTAGCTACTTCTTTTTAGGAGAGGAGAGCTTGGAATATGACAATTCGAAAGCTATACAATAAAGGCTTACTACCCAGAATAATTTGTTCCACAAAACTGAGTATAACCCTAGTGGGCAGGAGGGATGATTTTCCTTAAATGAAATTGAGCATATCCAAACATTTCTGATTTAAAAGGTTAAAATTTGAGTGGACACTTCGAAATGGAAACACGGAAAATAAGAAAAACATAGAAAGATACACAATTTGATCATTTGGAATGGACCCAGGAGGAATTGGTTTTTGTCGCTTAATGCGTCCTTATCCCTGTAGCTGGGGTCTTTATTAAATTATTAGGATTAAATGTTCTATTAAATGCTAGGATACTGGATACATTTATTTTTGTATATTGTGTAGCTAATATTTCCTAATGATAATTATTTCTCTTAAACCAGTAGCAAATTGTTTTCAGAACTACTGCTTTCTAGTAACATTTTGAAATTTGATACTTCTTTAGGAAGATTTTACAGAGGATAGTAAATTACTAGGTGATACTCTTCTTAAACACCGTGAGAAGTAGTAGAATCAAAACAGCTTGGAAAGGTACTAGACCTTTCCAAGCATATTTATAAATGGAAAAGATTTGGTCAGATTTCCATGAGGAAATCTCCCTCAAAGGAGTGGAACTTATCACCTCTGAACATGAGCTAGTAGAAATGTTACTTTAAAAAAAAAGAAGAAGAAGAAGAAGAAAACTGGGTTACTCTAATTATACACATGGAAGGTTCTTGCTGGAAGTAACACAATTTTCAACATACTGAGAAATTGATTCCTAAGATATATGAAAAAAAATGATATTAAACACTTTAAAAATTATGCATATTTTCACAATCAAGAATTTACTATATACTATATACATGTCTCTGTTTCATGCCTTTCCTGATACTAATGAGCCTCTTGTCTTTAAACAACAATTTTTTCTCACAGGCATATCAAAATTATATAAGATTCCTGCAATATGTGACCATAATTTTATTCAGTTCTCTGATTACAAATACTACAAAGAGCATGAAACAGAAACATAAGCTTATTTGTGGTATATGCTGCTGTGAGAAAGGAAGGCTTTTACAGAGTGAAAAATAGAAGAGTTTTCTTAGACACCATGAGGTATTATTCTGTTACAAATGACGTTAAGTTGTAGCATAATATAAAAAAGTGTTTAGAATTAGAGAAATTATCAGGTAAATTTATACCAGGTCAGTGTTTAATAAACACAAAACCACAGATTACTAAAAGAGAGGAAGTCTATATTCTAAAACATTCTAAACAAACTAAAAGAGAGGAAGTCTGTATTCTAAAACATTCTAAAACTACACATTTGTTACAAGGCTTTTGTTTTTTTTCCCCCAATACTGAGGAGATAGAAGGAAAAAAAATTTTTTGTTAGTTGGAAAAGATAAAATTAACTTAAAAGTACAACAAAGCAGTGAAGATCACAGAGAACATACTATACATCCCCCTTGATCTGTAAAATGTAGATTATAAAAGTATCTACCTCCCAACCTTGTCTTGAGGCTCAAATGAGATAATAAATGTATAAAGCGCTTTGGAAACCTTGCATTGCTCTGTAAATGTTAACTGCTGTTATTGCCATCTTAAACTGGGTACCATAGAACCCTGCAAATGGATCCTCAGCCTAAATGTAACAGGTCATATCATGCCAACTGGGAGAGTATGAAAGAGTGTATACTTAGGTTCTTCCAAATTTATTGTTAAGAAGGTGTTTCTTAATAAGTTAAAAGAGATCATAGGGAAAAAAGTAGACAATTTAGATTATACAAAATGTGAATACTTTTGCATGACCAAAATGCGTGCAGAAATCATTGGGGGCAAAGTTCTCAAACTTCTCTCTGAATTCAACTCAGAACTGAGTTAAAAAAAAATCTGATATCCAAGAGAAGTCACATGATGGTAGTAGATTGGTAGCTTCCAGTCCAGGAAGTCCACATTCAAGAGCCACTTTCTGAGGCTTACCCAGTGTGTGTGACACACTGTTGAAGCCACTTAACTCTTAGTGCTGTAAGCATCTCCCAGAGTTTCAGAAAACATATCCATCTATATCGATACAAAGTTTACTCACCCTTGAGTTTGTTATACAAATGAAATATTAAATACATTGCCTGTTATCCGAGAAGTAAGAGAATTCAAACTAAGATCAAGAGCTGTTGTATTTGTTCTATTTTTTTTGTTGTTATCTTTATTTTTTCAAGAGCTATTGTAGATAAATAATCTAAAGAGGAAATGCTAATGATCAAACAATATGTGGAAAAAATTCTTCAAATCTCTGGAGTGATAGATAACATGGAAATGTTGATGATAGAGAACATGTAAATTTAGCAACTCTTTTACCTCATATATAGTAAATTCACAAAGATAACTGAATAGTCAGTGTAAGAAAGATTGTGATAGATGGGGTCAAAATGACCACATTCTTTGTAATAGTGACAAGGGGAGCAAGAGAAATTAGTGTCCTTCAGTAGGAGAACAGTTAAGTAATTTGTGATGTATTAACATAATAAAAATTATTTCATTACAAGTAATGTGTTAAATTCAGAGAAACATAGGAAGACTATTAATTGTTAGAGTAAACAAACAGAACCAAGAGAACAATGACCATATAATATAAATGAAATCATGTTTAAGAGACATCTCAACTTGAACTAATAGTAATAGTTTTTATTCCAAAGAACAGCAAATGGTAACTCAAGTTCCTTCTATTAGTAGGGAGATAGAGGACTGTAGGTATACAATGTATATGAGTTGTCTGGCTTTCTTCGTTTTTCACTGTTTATTTTTATAAGGAAAGATATATTTTTAATGGAGAATAGCAATAAATGGGATAATAAGTATTGGGGGGGCATAGAAGAAGTATTTGTTTTGTTCTGTTTTATCCTTAATTGAAATATTCAGTGGGAAAAATGCCTGGGAACGTAGGTGGGCTCAATTCAATGAAAGCAAAGAACTAGTAGATAACTTCATATCAGGATGTCTCTCAAAGAAACCCCTAGCACTTGGGTGTGAGCCTCTGTGAGCATTTGAACAGGAATACAATGAGAAGACTAGGATTCCATCTGTACCAGTGGAAGGTAGTACACATATCCACGAGGTTATAAATCCCCAGAATACTTTTTACATAGTCCTTTAATGTTTGCACGACTTTTGAATATGTTATCTCATTTTGATCCTTAAAACAACCTTATGACATAGGTACTGTAGATATTATCTACTTTTTTCCGACTGAGGAAACAGATTCAGAGAGATTTCAATTCACCCATAGTATTACAGCTAGTTATTGTTAGAGACATATTTATCAATCACAGTCATCCAGTGAAGTACACTGTCTTGAAAGTTATTGAACTGCTGGGTAAACATTTTTCAGTGTAGTTTAGAAGGTATTTTTGCATCAGGAGAAAGATCAGTTTGGGTAACACAAGGACCTTTTCCACTGTTCCATAAATTAAAAGTGTTCATAAATAAATATGGTATTTCTTCCCTTTTGTTACTTCTCACAGCTAGCTAGGATGATTTCTCTTCAGAAGTCCCTTTCCTTTTTAACTTAGATCTCAAATTTTGTTTTTCCTTTTTTTTTGGTTGTTTTTGGTTTGTTTTGTTTTTATGCAAATGTATTTCCTTATTTTACTTAAGAAAAGGAAAATAATGAAGTGAATTTCCTTTTGTTTAATGTCTTGTACTTTGAGTCTTTACCATATTTTCTAAGAAAGCATAGGTTTTAAACATTGAAACAAGGATTTTAAATAATTAATTTTTATTTTAATTTATTCTAAGACTTTAATGTGTTGAGAACTTTTAAGTAAATAATCACTTTTTAAATGAAGTCAAACATGAATCTCAAATGTTGGATGTCATCGAATACTTACTAATTTTAAAAACATTGCAGGTACCTCTGCCCTTATGGATACATTAGCAGCCAATGGAACAGCCAACCTACAAACATCTGTTACAGCAGTAACAGCCAGTAAAAGAAGGTTTATTGAAGACAGAAGAGACCAGCCTTTTGACAAAAGACTGCGTTTTAGTGTGAGACAAACTGAAAGTGCTTACAGATACAGAGACATTGTGGTTAGAAAGCAGGATGGCTTCACCCATATCTTATTATCAACAAAATCATCAGAAAATAATTCTTTAAACCCAGAGGTGAGTTTTCCTTTTATGGGGTCTGATTTTTCAATCTATTATCCAGCATCTTCTTGTCTTCCCTCTTTGCCCTTCTTAGTCATTTCATCTGAGGATAGTCAGCAAGTTTTTAGTAGTAAGCTTTTTTCGTTATCTTCTGTCTTGGTCAAGTTTATTTGTGGGGAATAAGGAAGATGTGAAATGAAATGGAGAGATCATTTATCTATGTCTTAGCTGTTCAGTGTTTGGGCTTGGTATTGTTAAGATGCCTTTTGGCTACTGTAACTGCACTTTCAGTTCTTGAAGACAGCAAGATGATTAATGCCAACATTTCCTGCAAGCTAAACTTAAGATTTGAAAAGGGGGGAAAAAACCAGTTCAGTGATGCCAACTAACACCAAGTATATAGCATCCCCACCTTTTGTACCCCAACTCTGCAGTGAATGAAGGGAGGTGCATCTACTCCTCTCTGCACTGGAACCAGTTTATTTCCTTTTATTGTTCCTTCATTCAAATTATTTTAGACACATGTGTTGTTTTTCTACTTCTTCATTTTCAGTTCATATGAGTTTTCCCTTTTTCTGAATTTTTCATTTTCATCATTTTCAATTACAGCACCCAATAAAATTCACATGCCACAATTTGTTTAGACTTTCTAGTCACTTGTTACTTATTTTGTTTCTAGTTATTTTCTTTAGTACAAAAAAAGTTGCTACAATGAATATTTTTTGCATATATGTATATATGGGACTTTTGTGTTTCTGTCTTCCTTGTGGAATATGTGCTTAGTAATGGGATTTCTGGGTCAAAGAGTATAAATAATTCCCACTCTGTCTTTCATCCTATGGAGTATTATTGTTTCACTGTTTACTTCATCTTAGATACTTGTTAAGCATTTTTAAATAGTTTTCTGCCTTTCTAAAATTAAACTGCTAGGGTGATGAAATTATACTACATAATTAAATTATTTTGATTCATAACCTATGTTTGGTGATTTTAATGAATAGATCTGAGTTGCTTCCGTGCACTGGTTGCATATGCCACCTGCTGACCAAAATATAGAAATGTCAAATGAATATTAAAAATACATTATCTGCAAAGTGTCATCCTGAATAAGCCAGTGTCCAGTGATACTGCTGGGTGATTTTGAAGACATATATTTCTGACCTATATACCTTTTTGTGAATGTGATTTGACATTTCCCCTCACTGTTTGGAAAATGAGAAATTTACAAATGTTTGAAAACCCATTTTTAAAAATCTGCAGATATTATAAGAGCTTTTGTGGAAAATAAAGAAAGATCTTTACCTCTGAATTTTTAAAGCAGTTTAAAATATTTCTATAAGTTAAAAAATCAGCCTGACCAGTTTTAATGTTTGTTGACATTTACAATTAGCTTGTTCCATTCTATTTAAATTTTTGACAGCTTTTTTTGTTCCTATCCAGGAGACCTAGGGTTTAACTTTAACTTGATTCTCTTGAAAGGTAATGAAGGAGGTTCAGAGTGCTCTGAATACGGCCGCTGCTGACGACAGTAAACTTGTGCTACTCAGTGCAGTTGGGAGTGTCTTCTGCTGCGGTCTCGATTTTATTTATTTCATTCGGCGTTTAACAGATGATAGAAAAAGAGAAAGCACTAAGATGGCAGACGCTATCAGGTATGTGTAATAAGCTAGTTTTTCCTGTAATGTGTGTTTTTTTCCCTTATGTTTTAAAGTATAATTTCAGTATCAAACCTTGTAAATAAAATATAAGTATTGTTAGTAATTGTTACAGTTTGTTACTTATTCTTTACATTAAAACACACTGATAGTAAGAGTAATTAAATTGGTGGGCTTATTGACCACCCAACGTAGTTCTTTTTTAACTAGCCATGGATGGACAAATGGGAATCCCATTGACATATTTGTCCCTACAGATGATGTCAGAGTCTATGATTCTGACAGAGGATCTAACTTCAAGACTAGGCTATACCCAAGTAATGCCCCAAAGCTAAGTGGAACAAAACTCCTTTTGAAATCAGAGGACTCTGTGGGCTCCACTTGCAGCTTATTTACTATGTAACTTTAAGCAAGTCATTTAATCCTTAGACCTCAATTTCCTCATGTCAAATGAAGGATCCTCTAATCAAAGGTCCCTTCCATCTCTGAAAACTATGAGCTTGTGTGTAGCACACAGAGCATTGCTACCACAAAAAGGTATCTTTGCTGCAGTGATGATTTTTTTCTGTCTTCTACACATAAATGTAAAAAAAGTTGACGTTGGGCCCTGTAGAAGCATTTGTTTAACTCTGAGAGCAACCTCTTCCTATAATAAATTAAAAATTGGACAACTTTACTGTTACAATATAGACTTTTTTTTTAAAACCAGCTTAATCCCATAGATTGTGATAGACCACGAATACATAATCCTTAATGATTTTTTAAAAACAACCTCTTGTATGCTTTGTTTTTGTTTCTGTTATTTCTTTTTGCAAGTCATGTGTTATGATAAATTATTTGTAGAACAAATAGACCAACACGTTGGGATTTTTCCTAATTCTGGAGCTGCTATTTTGGATTTTATTTAATATCAATAAAAGATTCTGTAATTTAGCAAGATTTCAGTTAATTACCTAGAGTGTTCCTGTCATTTTAAGGAACTACTAATTAATTCCTGCTTTTATTGGTTTTCCTAGTACCATATAATAATAAACTTTTCCACAAACTATAGATTTTAAAAACTTAACTAAAAACATTTTCTGCATGTTATTTATATTGATCACATACACCCTAGAAAATATTCTTATTGAAAATAAGATATAGCTGAATTAATTTTAGTCATTATCCAGGAAGTTTCTTATTTTTCTACTAGAATTACATTCCAAGGACTTCTCTCTACTGATTTTTCTTTGTACTGCTAGCACATGGCCTTTAAAAATATTGATAATAATATTTTATTTTTTTCCTAGTTACATATAAAGACAATTTTTTTAACATTAATTTTTTCCCCAATTATGTGTTAAAACCGTTTTTAAGTTTTGAGTTCCATATTCTGTCCCTCCCTTATTTTCTTCCTCCCTGAGACAGCAAACAATTTAATATGGGCTATACGTGTTCAATCATGCAAAACATGTGACTGTATTAATCATGCTGTGAAGGAAGACATAGACCCAAAGTAGGGGGAAACAAGGGGTAAAAATACAGAAAGTGAAAAATATGCTTTAATCTGCATTCAGACTGCATCAGTTCTTTTGAAATAGATAGCATTTTTCATCATAAATCCTTTGGAGTTGTCTTGATCATTGTATTGCTGTTACTGTATACAATGTTCTTGGTTTTGTTCACTTCACTTTGTATCAGTTCGTATAAATCTTTTCAGATTTTTCTGAAATCTGCCTGCTCATCGTTTCTTCTAGTACAGTAATATTTCATTACAATCATATACCACGACTTGTTCAGCCATTCCCCAATTGATGGGCATCCCCTCAATTTCCAATTCTTTGCCATCACAAAAAAGCTACTATAAATATTTTTGTACAAATAGGTTCTTTTTCCACTTTTTGATCTTTTTGGGATGCAGACCTAGTCATGGTATTGCTGGATCGAAGGGTATGCACAATTTTATAGCAATTTGGGCATAATTCCAAATTGCTCTGTAGAATAGTTGGTTCAGCTTACAGCTCTAACAGTAGTGTATTACTATCTCAATTATCCCACATCTCCAACATTTATCATTTTCGTTTTCTGTCATATTAGCTAATCTGATATGTGTGAGGTGGTACCTCAAAGTTGTTTTAATTTGTATTTCTCTAAGTCATAGTGATTAAAAGCATTTTTTTTTTCACACGATGACCATAGATAGTTTTGATTTCTTCATCTGAAAACTTCCTGTTCATAAACTTGGATCATTTATCATTTGGAGAGTAACTTTTATTCTCAGAAGTTTGAAAGCATGTAGCATTTTACTTTACTTTAGACTTTACTTTACTTTAGACTGAAGCTAGATTTGAAGGAATTTAATCCAGTTTTTCTGGCTATAAGTCAACATTGGAATTTTTGTCAGCATTTTCAGCTGCTTTCCTCCCTGAAAAATTAAGGCTTATGATTCAGGGCTTCATATTCCTTTTCCCATAACAACATAAGTCATATATGAAACTGTGCCCTTTTCCCTTTTTTTTTTTTTTTTTTTAAAAAGCTTATTCATCTCAGTCCCCTCCTGTTGGCTTTACTGCCCTTAAACCATAGAAGCATCAGAACAGATCTATCTGTATATTTGTGTAAACTCATGTTTCTTTTTTTTTAATTATTTTTCCTTTTAAGCATTCACTTCCATAAGATTTTGAGTTTTATGCTTTCTCCCCCTCCGCCCCACCCAGGATGGCATGTAATCTGATATAGGGTATACTTACACATTAATGTTAAGCATATTTTCACATTAGTCATGATGAAAACAAGAATTAGAACTAATGGGAGGAACTGCTAGAAAGAAGAAGCAGAGCAAATAGTATGCTTTGATCAGCACTCAGACTCCATAGTTATTTCTCTGGATGTGGACAGCATTTTCCATTGTGCGTTTTTGGGGTTGTCTTAGATCCTTGCATTGCTGAGAGGAGCCAAGTCTATCTTCATTAGTCATGGCACAATGTGGCTGTTACTGTGTACAGTGTTTTCATTTCACTCAGCATCAGTTCATTTAAGTCTTTCCAGGTGTTGCTGAAGTCTGATATTCCATTCCATTCATACAAGCTGGGTCAAAGGGTATGCACAATTTTATAACCCTTTGGACATAGTTTCAAATTGCTCTCCAGAATTGTTGGATCAGTTCACAACTCCAGCAGCAATGCATTAGTGTTTCAATTTTCCCATGTCTTCTCCAACATTTATCAACTTGATAGGTTTGAATGTGGTACCTCAGGGTCGTTTCAATTTGCATTTCTCTAATGAGTAGTAATTTAGAACATTTTTTCATGACTGTAGATAGCTTTCATTTCTTCCTCAGAAAACTGCCTGTTCATATCCTTTGACCATTTATCAATTGGGGAATGACTTGTATTCTTATAAATTTGACTCAGTTCTCTATATATTTTAGAAATGAGGCCTTTATCAGAGACACTGGTTGTAAACATTCTTTCCCAGTTTTTGCATTGGCTTTGTTTGTGCAAAAACTTTTCAGGTTTATGTAATCAAAATTATCCATTTTGAATTTCGTAATGTTCTCCTTTGCAAAACTAGGCTGCCTATTTTAATGAATTTATTTTAATCAACTCAGTGTTTCTGTTTGGCCAGATAGAAGATTACTTTTTGTATGTCCGCTTTTGTTTAAGTCCTAGAAGTAGTCATCAGTTACACTAGACTTATTTGACCTTTCAGCTTGTTCATTTGCATTTAAATTAGTTTTATATGTGTAGTGTTGGATTATAAACACCTAAGGAAGTCTCTGCTATCCTGTGCTATTTTTAGTTTTGTCACTTTCGTACATATGAGTACAGATTTTTTCAAAAGTTAAAGCAGTGCTTTTTTAATCATTTTAAATTGTTTTGGAAAGGAAGCCCAGTTAATGAAATATTAAATCTAAAAATTATATGGTTAGGAGTTTTTAAAACTGAATGGCAATTTGAGCCCTGCTTTTATTTTTAAATCTCATGAGATATTAGACAAATCTTCATTAATTTGGAGTTTTGTGGTTTTTTTTTTTGTACAGTTGAAATCTATTAGGATTGGTAAACTGACATATATTTTTCAAGCTGCAGTGGCTTTTTAAAATTTCAGTTCTGCCTTCATTGTGGCCTGAAAAAGCATATGTTATGAGAATGAAAACAATTGTTTTGAACATATTCTAATTCATTTGAAGTCAGCCTCCCTCGCTTTTCAAGTAGAATATTAAAAAAACTCCTAATCCACCAGGTTCCCACTTCCCAAGTCTTCCTGACATCCAGCAGTTGCCTACTACTGCCAAATTCTTTTGACCTGATTGGTTTTTGCTTAACTAATTCGTGATTTCTTTGACTGCTATATTTATTGGTGTTATCTTATGACCACACATAGATGGGTAGGGCTTTCTGACCCTAAGAAGAAAACAGGTTTTCCTATCAGTGTCTTAAGTTATCTTTTCAGAAATAACCACCTGTTTGATATGAAGCTTTCTAAAATATTGGGAAAACAGAAGTTGACTCTGGCAAAAAAAAAAAAAAAAAATACAACTCATTTCCAAGAAATTCCTTCATCGTGCTAAAATTCAGGTTTTACATCTCACAAAAGCAAAATAGCAATCTTTTTGATCGTTTGCTTGTATGGGTAAAAGAAAAAGTCCTGTGCTTACAATTGTCTGAAGATTTCTCTGGTGCTTTTAAATTGCACTACTAATTCTGATAAGACTTTTCATCTTATGCCATCTACCATTTTGGCAGTTGCTGCCTCAAGAGTACTCGGTAATAGAGCATAGGGAATTTATTTCTCTATGTCATTGACCCATAATCTAAGAGGTTTCAGAATAGAAGCAGCTTAATGAAAGTTGCCTACACTTATCTCAAGAGCCTGTTTAAAGGGTTGTCTAACTCTGTATCATTAAAATCCAGTGTGATCTTTCAAACAATGCCTGAGGCCCTCTCATTTAGGAACTCTTATTGCAAACTTATTGCATTTAAGCTAGTTAAGTCTCATTGCATGAAAAGGTCCCAAATAACTGGGGTGGAAGTAAAACCTAAGGCTGCCTGAGGGGACTGTGCAGTGCCTTTGGAAAGAAGCAGCTGTAGCCAGGGAGACTTGTAAGATAACTAAATCCAGAAATGCCTCTCCTTCCCCCATTTCTTTTTTCCTCTTTCCCAAAAAATTTTAAAACAAATCCAAAAAAGATAACTCTAATTTAGAGATTTCATTGCCACCATTTTGATGAACAATCAGTATTTTTAGGTTATATGAAGTATCCAAACTTGTTTTTTCCTTATTGAAGATCCTTATGTAGTTTATTGAAATACTATTGTACAGAACAGCCCATGTATCTTAAGTTGAATGCTGTTGCCTAGTTTTACAAAACAATGTAAAAAAAAACAGTTTTAGCATTTAATGCAGAACCAAATTGGGCTGAAAAGGAATCTTCTGTACTTGAGATATTTGTAATTTTTTCCCTACCTTACTAGTAGGAAACAACTCCCTGGAAAAGTAGTAGAAAAACAACTCCCTAGATAAATACCATGCTCTTGTAATTTCTTATTACTACCATTCATCTGCATTATTATATAATCCCCAACAATAACTTGTTTGAAAATTGAGTTTATGTTGATGATTCCAGATAAAATTCTAAAAGTTTATGTTCAGATTAAAGAAATAAAGCCTCTTTATCTCCCCCGCCCCCCCCCAAAAAGTACCAGAAAATTTAGTTTATTTTTAGAGTGACAGTAATATTTGAGAATACCAAGTTCATAGATTCATTGTGTTGGGGCTAACATCAGTGTGAGCTGTGGGAAGATTGCATATCTTAAGTCCAGACTAACTATTACTATCCAGAGCTTTGATGGTTAGCATTACATTCCTTCTTGTTGAAGGATCAGACAAACGAAAAGGACTCTTTTGTATGCAAACCCACTAATAAGGTGGCATATCTTTATCTCCAAATTAGAAAAGGAGTGCTGCCGCATTGTTTCTCAATATCCAACCCAGAAAAAGAGACAGCATCAGTTGTTGGGATGGTTGAGAGGTAGCTAGTTGGCTCAGCGAATAGAGTGCTGGACCTGGCATCAGGAAGACCTGAGTTTATATTTGGCCTTAGACACTTACTAGCTGTGTGACCCTGGGCAGGTCACTTCCTTTCTCTGTTTGCCTCAGTCCACTGGAGAAGGCAGTCACAAACCACTCCAGGTTTACCCCATGGACATTATTGGCATGCTATGATCCAATGGGTCAAGAAGAGTGGGACAGAACTGAACAACAACCCTAATTTAGATCCTGGCTCTTCCGTGAAAGACTCCTTAAGTCTTCATAATCTGTATGTTCTACCATATCTAAAACTGTACTAAACACTCCGGCCCTCAGGAAACATTTTTTGTCTCATTTTTAAAGTCTAAACTAGTACTTCTAGTGCTTCTCAGTTTCATTCCCCCAATAGCATTGCCTTCAAAATTTCCAATGTAAAGTCTGTTATACTTGTTCTTAGACAGGGTTATGGGAATAGATGCCCAAACTCTTCCTTTGCCCAACGTCCCACAAATACCAGGACTGCCACTGATAGCACTCTTTGTTTTGTTGTCACAAGTTTTATATTGTACTTCAATTAACGTAAGCATCTTATTAAATAATTGTGTGTGTGTATTCAATAATTTCCATTAAACTGTTCATAAAATTAAAGTTAATTATCATTATGGTAGCTTTTTGTTTCTAAAAGACACAACACTGAGTAATATCCTTTTTCTCTTTTTTTCTATCTCCTTCCCACCCTCCATTCCCTTAAGAAACTTTGTAAATACCTTTATACAGTTTAAGAAGCCCATCATTGTAGCAGTAAATGGTCCTGCCATTGGACTTGGAGCATCCATATTGCCTCTTTGTGATGTAGTTTGGGCTAACGAAAAGGCTTGGTTTCAAACACCATATACTACATTTGGACAGAGTCCAGATGGATGTTCATCACTTATGTTCCCGAAGATAATGGGACTGGCATCTGTGAGTATCTTTATTTTATTATTATGCATTTGGAAATCATAAGAGAATGTTCAGCTTGGTTACCTAATTATAGTAAAAAGAGTGTCATGATCCTCAGTTGTTTCATTTAGTGGGCGTAGAAATCATTTTATGTTCACTTAGTTTTTTTTTTTTTCCCATAAATAATAGGAAGTATTTCAATTCATTGAGCATTTCTTATGATCCCTTAGAATTCTTGTCCTTGTCTTGATTTGGTGGTTAGATAACAACATCACTCTTAGAAGCATTTGGTTTTACCTAGGAAAGACTGGCATAACAGTATGGTTTGTGTTTTGTTTTTTGTTTTTTTAAGTTAAAGTCAAGATTATTTTGTAGTAAACATATATGCCCATTAATTGGTGCTATCTAGTTTTCTTAAATCTCAAACTTTCTTGGAGGAATTCAGCATTTAGCTAAATTATACTGGAAGAGAAAGGGAAAAGTACTCTTAATGATAAATAGTGGTGAGGCATTTTTAAACTTTACATCTTTACATATGAAGAAACTCAGAAGTTACATTACAGCCAGCCAGAAGGGTGGTGACAGATAGAAGGAAAAAACTAAAGGTCACTTTAGTGACCTAAGTCACTCTTTTCTTTCACTTCTTGAGTGGTAAAAGAAAATTTACCAGATAATGCTTATCTTGACCCAGTATTCTTGACTCAAGTGTTCTTTTCTAGTATTACCCGCCTGGGCTAGGACCAAGTTTCATCTAAGCTATAAACTACTGAAAAAGTATTAGTAGTTTGTTTTAAATTAGCTGAGATATTATTCTTTTAGAGATTTGTTCACTGGAGATAGAAAGGCTTACTCTGGAATATTTTTGAATAAAACACAATGAAGGCTCCTTTTATTTTTCCCAATTTATTTTGACATTTTTATTTAAAATTTTGAGTTCTGGATTCTCTCTCTCCCTCCCTCCCCTTCCCCGAGCTTCCCTGAGATTCATTTCTAAATAGACCATCTTTCTTAATTTACCTGCCTACATTTGCTCAAAATAAACATGTACACCAGAGATTTCCTTATAAACTTTCACAAATAACTTTCATAATACGTATTTATAGTTTTTTTAACACTAAAAACAATAATATCTTTACATTTGATTGATAAAAGCAAAGAGTATATTATCATACTTTTTTTATTATAAAATTTAGCTGAGTAAAACAGTCTTAAAAGACTCCATTGAATTAGTAACATTAAAATTATACCAGATTCAGTCAGTCAGACTACTAGCATGTACTGTGGGCAGCTAGGTGGCAAAGTGGATAGAATGCTGAGCCTAGAGTCAGGAACACTTATCTTCAGACACTTATTACTAGTTGGGTACCCCTGGGCCACTTAATTACATAATAGCATTTAAATAGCATTACCACTTAATGCTATTTGCCTCAGTTTCTTCATCTATAAAATAAGCTGGAGAAGTAAATGGCAAACCAATCCAGTATCTTTTCCAAGAAAACTCCAAATGTGCTGTAATACAATGAAAGCAAAATAGTACCTGCTGTCAAGTAACTCATAATCTTAAAGGGGGATGAGGGTAATCAAGATACATACAGGATAAATTGAGAGTAATCTCAGCAGGAAAGCATTAAATTAAGCACTGGGAAAGGCCACTTGCACAAGAGGAGACTTTAGCTGAGTCCTGAAGGAAGCCAAGTCATCAAATACAACCATTAGGAAAGAAAGCATTCCTGTGCATGGGGGCCAGCTAGTGCAAACACTCAGGGGCAGAAGGTAGAGATAGTATTGTGTACTAGGGACAGCAAGGAAGGCAGTGTGAACTGCATTCCTGAGTGCATGGTTGGCATGACTAGAAATATAGGAAAGGGACAGGTTATTTAGGGCAGCTGGATGGTGCAGTACCAGCCCTGGAGTCAGGAGGACTGTGAGTTCAAATGTAGCCAAATACACTTGCTGGTTGTGTAACAACCCAACACCCCCCACCCACCCACACACACACATGGTACACGCCCAGCCAGATTTTATAGAGTTTATTGAATAAGGTGGTGATATCAGATCTGTGTTTCAGTTGATCAGTTTGACAGCCAAATAGAGAAGATGAACTAGAGTGGAGAGAGATCAGAGAAGGCTGTTGGTGTGTAGTTTGTCTCTACGGTGATGAATGCCTACACTAGTGTAACAGCAGTGTCAGAGGGGAGGAGATATAAATGAGAAATGTTACAAAGGTGGAGAAGACAGGATTTGTCCACTGATTCGATATGGTGTGTGGAAGAGAATAAGGAGTCACAGATAACACCTAGGTTGCGAGCCCAGGCAACAGCAAGGATGTTGATACTCATGACCATAATAAGGAAATTAGAAATATAGGAGAGTTTGTGGGGAAAGGTAATGATTTCTGTTTTAAATTATATGAGTTTAAGTTGTATACGGGGCATCCAGTTTGATGTATCTAATAGGCAGTTTTAGATTTGAGATCGGAAGTTGGGGGGGAGGTTAGGGCTGGACAAGTAACTCTTAAGAGTCAACTACATAGAAACAAACTGTCCTACATGAGTATAATGAAATATTCCTGTGCTGGAAGAAATGATGTATATGACGTATACAGAGAAGCTTGGAAAGAGTTACATGGAGCATAAATGAAGTAAGCATAGAAAGTAATCCAAAAACCCAGTGAGTACAACGTAAATGGAAAGATCATGAAAGAATAGGAGGGAATGTTGCAAAATTATCAAGAAAAAGCATGGTTTCAAAGAAGAAATATGAAAAGATATCCCTTGCCGCCGCCCCCCCTTCCTTTGCATAGGTGAGAGAGCCACAGATATACACATTTTCAGACTTTTTCAAATTATTGATCAGTTTTGCTGATTTTTTTTTTCCCTTAGAAACTTTTTGTTGTAGTGGATGACTTTCTGGGAAGGGGAAAAAAACGGATATTAGAAGAAATTTTGGTAATATAAAAAAACAAAATATATCAGTAAAATTATCTTTAAAAAAGAAAAATGATCAACTTCAAAGCTATGGGAGCTGATGAAATCACCAAGTGGAACAGTATAAAGAGAGAAAAGAGGGCTTGGGAGAGAACCTTTGGCTGATACCCACAGTTTTCAGGTGTTATATAGATGAGGATCCATTAAAGGAGACAGCAGATATCTGACATTTCAGAATCCCTGAAAAAAAGTCTCCACAAAGGCAACTCTCAAAGAACCCATAAAGCTAGGTGTATGTTCACAAGTATTCATCACTCTTAGGCAGGGTGTCTTACATTAGGTCCAAATTGAAGAATTTCTTAGAGATGTTTAAACGTCCCCCCTGACTTCCCACTGGACCCCCCATTCTCCTAGTTGCAGATGACATGATTCTGATTACCTTGATTGAGTTACAGAACATTGTAAGGCTGTCTCGATGAGATCCATGGTGCCTCAGAAGAGACTGGCTTGATAGTACATAGAGTCAAAACAAAGGAGATAGAAATATCGTTACAATCAGTCAATCCATTTGTTGGATTCGTCTCTTTGTATATTAGGCATTTCAGATGAACAGTAAGAAGAGAATGGGATGGATTGCGTTTGGAATATTCCATGGTGTTTTCAATAATCTCAGTTTTATCCCTGGGACAAAACCCAAAGGTTTTTGTTTTAGATTTGTTTGATTTTTTAAAAACAGAATAATACATGGTTGAAAGTCTTAGAATACTAATGTATCAAAGAAATCAAGAATCTTTGATGACCTTTAGGGCAATCGAGATGCACATAGCAAGAAGCAAGTTGGTTACAGCATATTTTCAGTGATGGTCTACAGGTAAAAGGTGTTATAATGGATAAGAAATTATATTCCATAAGGGAGGTAGGCTACTCATGTAGGGAAAAGAAGGCTGTAAACAAATGGACAGGCCAAATGCAACTGGTATTCACATAAAGTAAAAAAAAAATCTAGATGAAGGTGTCCAGCACATTGGCTAGATTGTCTTCAAGAGATTATGGGAGAGCATGGACAAAATCTCACATGAACAACGGCTAAATTGAAATCTCTGTTCTTGGAAAGGAATACTCTCACCAAAAAGTTCATACATCCATTGATATATTCAGATTTGTATCCACCATTACTGTCAGTCAGGTTAGGCACCTATTGTGTGCCAGGCACACAGGTAGTGTACTTGTCACTGAACAAACAGTAGAAGAAATAGCCCCTTTCCACCAGGAACATGTGCTGTAAAGGAGGAGGTAATATCTACTAAGTGATGGAGACACACAGCAGTAGCAACTTGGGGAATCAGGAAAAGCTTGTAGAAGGTAGTCCTTAAGCTGAGCCTTGAAGGAAACTTGAGTTTCTCAGAAGTGGAAATGAAGAGTTCAAGCTGATGAATGGGAGTTGTGTTTGAGGCATGGCAAGAAAGGCCAGTCTGCTTAGATCATAGAGTAGATGGAGGGGAATAACATACAATAATAGCCAGGTTAGGAATAACATTAAATGTCTTACTGAGGAGTATATGTTTATTCCTAAATGTGAGAGTGAACCATTGGGGTCTATCAGATAGGAGAGTTATTAGCATGGTCCATTTAGGAAAATAACTAGCAGTTGGGCAGAGAACACAGTTATCCCTTCTACATTACAGGGGTTGGGGTGCAGCACCCACATCATCTGGAAAATCCATGTAAAGTTTTTTGCACACACTTACCACCACCACCCATACCAGAGAAGAATTCTATATTATAGTATTAAAAGAAAATGTTGATATTATACAACACTATACATATATTGTATGCATTTCTGAGTTTCTAAACTTTTTCTGTGTTATCTGCTGGCCTTCTCGTGTTGTCTGTGACTTCTGCAAAACTCCCAAAAATTCCCATTTAATTATTTTGACCCGTGATGTATCAGAGCCATGATAGGCAAAGTCTCAATGTGGAAAGGATAACTAGAGTAAAAAATGGAAAAGATTTGAAGCAGAGAGATCATTTTAAGAGGCTTTTACAATAGTCCAAGCAAAACGTGTTTAGAACCTAAATGGGCTGGTGCTGTGTAAATCGAGTTAAGGAATAGAATTCTAAGTTTATTTTATATTATCTAGCCCTCCCAACTTTACATCGTGTGTGTGTGTGTGTGTGTGTGTGTGTGTGTGTGTGTGTGTGTGTGTGTGTGTAAAAACATTAAGAAAATCTTTTTCAAATGTCACGGATTATTACAATTACTAAATGTGTTAACTGACATAGTATAAATGTGCCAAAAATATAACATGGACATAGCAAGTACAGACCAAATCACATAATATGACACACCAACACTTTAATGATAGTGTTGCCATTTGGGATAAAACTTAAAAATTGCCATGATGGTGTTTTCATTATCTCCTTCCAAGTATCCGTGCATGAGCCCATCATTTCAACTGTTCAAAAGCTTTATGGGAAATTGGGATTATTACATTTTAATCAGTTCAAGTTTAAGAAAATACTTCCCTTGTAGGTAAAAAATATTTTCTAACTCTTAATACATCATATTGACCAACCATAGGAATAACTGATTAAGGAGAATACTTGGCTCTTATCCTTTCATAAAAGCAGAGAATCGTTTGTGAGGAGTCTGCACATTTAAGGCCTTGATATCCTGTGTCTTGTAAAATTTCAGCTGCTGATTCTTTATTGGTTTTTGGCATGGATTCCTTTTGCCCTGTGGTAGTCTGTGGATAATCCCTTGTTAGTATAATGTTTTTCAGAGTATAAGATATCTAAGATTTCAAAGGAAGCCAATTATATTGAGGTCATGTTATTTAAAAAAAGTTTTTTTGTTTAGTTCACAGACCTCAGGTTAAGAAACTCAGCGTTAGATGTTACCCATAGAGCAAAAACCTATTGTCTATAAAATAAATCCTCTTTGGTTTCTGTTAAGTAGTCTTTTGTTTTTATGTTGGGTTAAATGGTTTATTATTCCTTTATATCAACCATGATGAGAAATTAGTTCAAAAGGGACCTGATTTTATGAAGGCAGGTAATTAAATTGATGCTTTGTACTTTATTTAAATGCCTCAAAAAAAATGTTGTACTCAAGAGTGTGGTATTTTGCTTTTACATTACTAGATTTTAGAGATTATGGATTAGTTCATTGAGGAGAACACCATCACCACCATGTACTTTACAGGCCTTTCATCAAAGGAGGAGACCCTCTGAGCTGTGTACTTAGAAGAAATAGTAGCAGCTTCTTTTAGTTAAGAAAATATAGTCAGACTTTTCATTAAATATGTAATCTTAACAAAATGTGCCAAGTTTTCAAATATATAGCAAATCAACTTTTGAAACATTGCCTAGTTAGAAGTGTTCTGTCCAATCAGAAGGAACTTTTTATATCCTGTAACTGCTTATTCATTATTATCTTAGAAATGCTTTGGTTTTGTATTTGGTAAAGTAAGACTGGTAGTGGCTGTTTGGATCAGATGCTAAAAAATGTCACCCCAAGGATCTACATGAAAGGCAGGCATTTTTAAAAATTCATCTTTGGTTTTAATTTTCTGATGTGTATATTTCTTAGTTTGAATCACTCCCACCCAATCCTCCATTTCATTTCATATCAGAAATAACTTTTCTTTCCCTTAGGCAAATGAAATGTTATTCAGTGGAAGGAAGTTGACTGCGCAGGAGGCTTGTGCCAAGGGACTGGTCTCCCAAGTGTTTTGGCCGGGGACATTCACACAGGAAGTAATGGTTCGAATTAAGGAACTTGTCACATGTAATTCAGTTGTAAGTTTGTTTTCTTACATATAATATTTTAATCTTAGGACTTATGGCACTTGTCCTTAAAAGATCTCAAAACCCTATTTCAAAAACTTGAAAACAATACTTCCTAAACACTTTAGCTTTTCTGAAGGGGAAAAAAATGCTTTCGATTAAGTACACCATTATTCTTTACTGCTTGATGTGCAGCCCTTTTCCACTGGAGTCTCACCCTGATTTTGAGGCCTTACAACTCTGGTTGTCAGAGGTGCTGAAAGAAAGCAGGGCCTTTGACTGCTTGTCTGTTATCAAAGCCCTAGCCTGGCAAAGTTCAGAGAAGCTTGTGGCTAGGTTGGCTGTAGGATAACCCAAGACCATCTGCTAATTCTTAAAAGGGTTGTAATCTGTGTCCATGGAAGTAATACTCGTATTGAAGTGCCTTGAAAAACAAAACAACAACCACATTCAACATTTAAAACTAGAATAGAAGCCATAACCAGGAACTGACACATTCTAGTATTTTTTTCTAATCAGTATTTCTGTCCCTAGTTTAGTATATTTTTAAATTTTCCTTCATCATTTGAGAAGGAAACAGGAACCTTAGAATTTGACATGAAAATGGAACCTAGCAGAGGAGCAATAACAATGTTTTCTCATGAATTCCCACAGACGTATTTCTGGTTGCAGGATAAAAAACAATTGGTTCATTTTCTAGATGAAAAAAAGGAAGATATAAAGTGAATAAGCAATAGAGCCTATAGTAATATCTGATCTTCCTTGTTAGCAATGCATTATTTGGCTCAACCTCTGAAGTGTTACAGAATGACACTTTTGTATAAATTATTGTCACATCTATTACTTTTTTTTTCCTTTTTTTTTCTTTTTTGTAAAGCAGTTGTGGTTAAGTGACTTGCCCAGGGTCACACAGCTAGTAAGTATTATGTGTCAGAAGCCGGATTTGAACTCAAGTCCTACTGAATCCAGGGCCAGTGCTTTATCCACTGTGCCACCTAACTGCCCCCCCACATCTATTACTTTAAAATCATTTTACCAAATAAGACTTTCCTAAATCATCTTCAAGCATAAGAATGTTGCACAAACATCCATATTTTAATACTTCCTGTTTCTTGGGGCAGCTAGGTGGCACAGTGGATAGAGCATTGGCCCTGAAGTCAGGCTGAGTTCAAATCCAGCCTCAGACCAAACACTTGACTCTTAGTAACTGTGTGACCCTGGACAAGTCACTTAACCCCAATTGCCTAAAAATAAAAAAAAAAATACTTCCTGTTTCTCACAGTTGGCCTCCTTATAAATTTTAAAATTATGCTAAATAACACATTCATTCTTTTAACAGTAAAATGAGTTTCCAATCAAAGAACAATATAAAATTATTTTTTCCCTAAATCTCAAGACATTTTTATCACATAAAAAACAAGCCTTCCTAAGACACATGAGAATCCATCCTATTTCTAAAGATCATGGAAGAGACACTTTCAGTCAACAGACAAGTACTTGGACTTTTCATCACTTGGATTGTTTAGTAGAAAATATCCAAAGATAACAGGACCTTAATTTTCACACACATTTATTTATTTATTGAGCAGTATGCAAGTTACACTATTCAGAATTCAGAAGGTTTCGTTTCAGTCCAGAACAACCATAGCATTATACTTGAGATTTGTATTCATTTTCTGTCATGATAGAGTTGTAATGTAGACAGAACCGTACTGGGAACCTAAAACTAGTTTTTGATAGTCATCTTTAACTGTTATTTCCCATGTTTATAATATAAAAATATGAAATGTCTGTTGTTTTGCCTTTTGTCTGCATGCATTATGAAGAATTTTCCTAGGTACTTTTCTGAACTGATGATCCTTCTTCTTTATGTCACTTACTTTGTCCATGTCAGTTCAGGGAATTGAGCAGTAATACACTTGTTGTTGCCCAGTACTAATAGACTGTTGTTCTTTGACCTAGGTACTTGAAGAATCCAAAGCTTTAGTGCGCAGTATCATGAAGGTGGATTTAGAACAAGCAAATGAAAAGGAATGTGATGTTTTGAAGAAAATCTGGGGCTCTGCCCAAGGAATGGACTCCATGTTGAAATACTTGCAGAGAAAAATTGATGAATTTTGATTGGCAAAAATGACACTGGAATTGTGTTTAGTGGGACATCAGTGGCTCAGCAATGCCATAATTCATTTAAAATCCAGAAACAAGTTTACTCATAACTTAAAAAGCTTGGAAATAAGACTGGAAAAGTTCAAGCTTTTACCGTCAAGGAGTATTTTAAAGTACTGTATCCTTTAAAAGAAAAAAGGCAACAAAGCGCCTTTATCCCAATATAATTATTTTATACAAAATAAATGTATACACACAAACTGAAAAGTTATAATGTTGAGCACCAGACAGTTCTTTGAATCTCTAATTTTTGTTATCTTTGGCTAGTACTGTATAAAGAAGAAAAGGATTGAATGGTGTTTGTTGTTTTCTGGGTGACAGGAAAGTCTAGAATAATGTTTGTTTTCCCCTTTTTTTTCTCCTAGAATACAGAGTCAAAACGGGTATGAGCCAGCCCCCTTCTCCTCACTTGCCCACTCACTAAGTCAGTAAGATCAGAGATTTTGACTGAGTTTGTTTCCAAGAAGGTACAAATACCTCAGAGGGTGGAATTTGTATATCAAAATAAGTCTTAGGCTTTAGTTTATACCCCTCTAATGAGAAGTCAAGTGATGAACATATCTCCAAAATTGAATGTGTGCTCAGGATTTATACTTAGTAAGCCCTTTTTTTTTGAAGACATGTCCAATTCTTACCCAGTTAGCATGAAGAAACCACTGTGTCTAGAAGAAAGCTTGTTTTGCAGTATTAGTGAATCACTGAATATCTTCTGTATGAATATCTAAGTTATAAGTTAGTCTTAGTGGGTTTAAAAGTAATTAGTTTTTCCTGACTTTTGAAGAATAACTACATAAGTGCTTCTTGTTGCTGGGTGAGAATACTACTTTATATACAGTTTTGTTTTTCTATTTGCAGTTTTAATTGATGTATTACACCAAAAAGAAAACATTTTATGTTCATAAAGTGTAATTTTTAGGTTCACTTAGAATATATTTTATTTAATAAGTTAAAATTCTTTTGGCACACTATTAAATACAGAAACTCCTTTCAAAAAACTACCTTATATTAGACATGTAATGCTTTTTATGTATACACTATATACTGTATACAGTATGGTGTACAAGAGTGCCCTGTGTAAATAGACATATTTGCATTCCTTTCAGGAGTGGTTACTGATTCCTGACTACAGATGCCTATTATTAGTTGGGCACCTGTGCTTGCAACGTATTGAATGTATGAAGAATGAAATAAAATCAAACCTTATTTTTGTACAGTTTTGAAGTTTGTACTTGGAACTGACCACCTCCCCTTCTTCGTGGAGAGCTGTACAGTGTGTAAATCTGCCTTTACCTTGGATTGGTACAGTATTTTTGCATCTGTGGGACCTACTTTTTTTGTTCAGTAGTTGAACTATATATAAACTGTACAATCTGTAAAGTTTTTATAGAATAAATATTCAGCTGTGAAAACTGGTTAAAATAAAACTAATATTTCTTAACACATTCTAAATTTCTCTGCTACAGTCCAGTTTTTGAGTTTTTTGTATTTTTTTCAAGAGTTCTCATCAGTTTAATCCTTTCAGAAGGAGCAAGAGCATCTTTGGGTTTGTTAAGTATAGCTTCTGTGTGTTATCTTAAGAAATCGAAGAAGCTAGTGAAAGAACTTCTATAATCTATTAAGATTTTCCTTGAAACCTGGTTTTAGAAAAGAAAATGGTCCTTCTCTTCTGATGTCAAGTAGAATGCCTTTGAGTTAATTTTGAGTATTAAGATTTTCTTAAATTGCAGTAATGGTCTCTAAATTATGGTCCAGCAAACATTTCTGGCAGACTTCACTATAATGTCTCTCCCTGCCATCTAGTTCTGTCTGTTATTTGACTGACATTTTAAACATAGGAGGATAGGAGACTCTTGGTCAAAAAAGATACAAAGAAAAGGCTAGAAATAATTTGTTAAAGGAGAGCAACAATGAAATGTTAACTTTAGAATACTAAAGGAATAGACAGTTTCTATAACCAAGCACAAATCATATGCAGATATACCATTACCTTTCTAAGCCTCTTAGTTAGAAGCCAAAAGGAAAACATCGTTTGATAACCCAAAAATATGGGCTGTTTCCTACTAGAACCATCAAATATGAACTCATTTGTTAGATACACAAATTTGTTAATATCAGCACTGGGTCTACCAGGTCATTTGGCTGCCCCTTCTATCTCCTAAGGACTTCCTGTCTTCTTCTTCATCAATTGTTCTTTATGTTAACCCTCCTCAATCCATCACACCCAAAGGTGCTCATCCACCTTTGGTGTCCACTTTTCACTTGTGGCTTCAAGCAGCTGTAGCATGTGTAGCAACCATACCCCGGTAAGACTGTCTTGGCAAACAGGCTAAACCAAGATTAGGGTAACGAACAGGCCTCAGACCTGCAGGTGAGTTAAGGGGATGTCTACCCCAAGCACGGGAAGACGTTCCTTGTCAGAATGAGCAGATGACAACAGTTCCAACAGCCACGAAGGCAACTGAAGCAGGTACTATGGAGTGTTCAGAGAGTGTCAGACGTGGAAGATGCCAAGGTCATCCCAGGCCCATCGCCAGCCACCTTGACGTTTGTGCTGCACAGGACTTCAGTAACTGGAAGAGAGTGAGGCCGATGGCTATGCAGCTCAGCCTCCCATCCAGTTCAACCTGCAAGTCAAGACATCACCCCGTGATGTCATTGGTCGTCTTCATAACAATGAACAGCACCTCTATCCGTCCCAGGAACCACTGAGATGGGCAGATTCTTCCAGTTACTGTCCCTGTAAGCTCTTTTATCTCAGAGTTCAAATTTCCTCGGCACCTTTAGAAGCAATCTTTTATATAGGAGAGGTAGCATGATGTATGGCTGAAAGAAAGAATCCTAAGTCTGCTGCTATGTGATCTTGAGAAAGAAACTTCCACAATCTTCAGTTCTGATTCTTCCTTTGTAAAATGAAAGAAAGGGTTGAACTTAAAGATCTGTAAGGCTCTTCAAGGTTAAAAACAAAAAACTGACACTATTGTACTGGGTGTTTTGTTTGCTTTCTAGTATTCCTAGGCATGGAAAGAAGGGAAGGAAATGGGATAGATGTCTTTTTAAAGAGTGATTACAAGTAATAGTTATGTAAATTAGGGAGGTGTAAAATTAGGGAGGTGTTTGGAAAGCAATACAAACCTCAAAGCTGCAGTTGCCTGTCTTTCCCCTTGTTCTTTCTAAAACAAACTAAATGGCAAGAGTAGAAAGGGAAGAAAACTGAAACCCCACCTAGGTAGCAGAGTCTTACTTGAAATAAAAACTTATCTTGCCTAGTTGTTAATGTTTGCTTCAGCGTAAAACCTTTAATTCTTCATTGGTGCTACTATGAAAAGACCCAAATCCTGCTCATGATCTTTACTGAATTTTTTTTCCTTCCTTCTGACTACTAGTATTAATAGATGTCACAATTGCATTCCTTTAGAGGAAGAAAGCTTGGCTTAGCACTCAGAGGAAATGTCACCTGCCTATCAATTTTACTAAACAAAGCTAGGGCCATTGATAGTAATAGAAATTGACAAGAGTTCATACTGTTAAGTCATAGGGTAAACATATTTTTTTAAAATACTCTTAAGCAGCTTTTAAAAGAATATACTCTATATCAAGATGTACTAAGATTGCCTATTAAGTATTAATTCAACTGTTAGCCTACTTAATGTGCTAACAATCAATGCCACTGTCAGAACTTAACCATGTCTGTATTGATAATCTTCCTAGAAATGAAACCATGGGATAAGGTTGCAGGCAAGTGAATGAATGACTCAAGTCCCTGGAGAGATAAATAAGTGCATCCACATTATTTTATGCTGCTTGTCTCACCTAGATGTGCTGTAGATGAAGATAAGCAGATAACCATCACAAAAGATCATAGAACCACACAGCCTTAGAACTAGAAAATACATTAGGATTCATTGAGTCCATTGCCCTCATTTTGTACATGAGAAAACAGGCCCAACTAGGTTTAATAATTTACACATTGTCATAAAATTGGAAAGTAAAACTGGAGTTCAACCCCATATTCTCATAATTCCAACATTCTCTCCTCTGCACCACCTAGTTGTAACTTAGGCAATACGAAGGTGAGGTTGAAATAGTGGAAGTAATAGGTGTGCATATATACAATACAAAGTAGGGCAATGTCTCTCTTAGGAGGAAAACAGTAGGTGCAGAAAGCAAGAAAGGCCTCCTGAAGAAGGTCACATGAAGTGGATCTTTAAGGAAACCAGGGTTTCCCAGAAGCAAAGGAATTGAGGGAGGGAATTCCAAGTATGAGGACAGCCAGTACGAAAGCAAACCATTAAAAAGACAACAGGAGAAAGTACTGTCACAATAAACTAGAAAGGAGAAAATATCTAAAAGAAGTGATCAACTTTGTCAAAGGCCACAAAGTGGTCAAGAAAGATAGGGGTTGAGAAAAGGACATTAGGCTTGGCAGTTAAAAGATCATTAGTGATTTAGGATAGAACAGTTTCAGTTGAATGATGAGATTAGAAGCCGGGTTGCAAAGTTTGAAGTTTGCTCAGGCTGTATAGATAGCCAGAATGGCAAGTATCAGCAGGAGTAATAGCTTTCTGGGGCCCATAACCCTGTAAAACCAATGCTGCAAAGCTCTGAACTGCCAGTGTGAGCTGGACAATACTATAGCATACAGGAGGCTGAGATTTTGAGACCCAACCGCCCAGGAAACCAGCACCAGGTTGGAGGAGTCAGAAAGTGAATAGGGGAAAATCAGGAGGGGGAAACAATAACTGAAATTATCAATAATCTCAGGAAAAAGAAAACTCAAAAACCTTGAACATGAGCAAGTAAATTAACAGGGAAAACATTAACAATCAAAGAAAATATGGCATCTAGACCCAGTAAACAAATTCAGGCATCTATGAGTAAATACTTCCAAATGAAGAAAAATGATCTGAACACTTGATGGGACACAGAACTTTGTGGAATGGAGAACATGGAACCACAATACACTCTTCCTGAGAGGTTCAAAAGAGAAAAACAATTTATGGCCTACACAGCAAAAATACTGGGCAGAATATAAAAACTGGAATCTGCAATAGCAAACAAAAGAAACAAAAAGAGAACAATTGATTGGGAAGGTGAAAGATAATCTAGAAGAAAAACAAAAGAAAAAACCCCAATAACTTTAAATTAAAAGATGCTCACTACGCAAGCAAAACATAACTGATCTCAAAGACAGGATGTGTAGAGACAACCTAAGGATCAAAGGTCTTTCAGAAGAATACGTTAGGACAAAAAACCTTAACACCATAATGCAGGAAATAATAGAAGAGAACTTCCCAGAACTCCTAAATAGAGAAAATGAGATTCCAATTGAAAGAATTCACTGATCAGCTCCAGAAAAAAATCTAAGGCTGTAAAACATGAAATTTCAAGATGCGTAGTGGTTAAATTTAATAATTCAATTCAGAAACAAGTTCTGCAAGTGATGAGAAAGACCTTCAAATACAAAGGAGAGGAGATTCCAATAATAGAAAAAACTTATGCACCCACCAGAAAATGTAGGAAGAAATGGAATAATGTGTTTCAAGTAGCAGTCAAGCTTAGTATGCAGTCCGGGATGACATACCCTGGAAAATCTGATTTCAACTGTATGTGAAAGGACATGGACATTCCATAATAAAGAGGCATCTGAAACAATTTTACAGAACTAAAGAGACTGCTTATCAAACACCCAAATAGCAGAAATGCAGAGGGAGTGAATAACAGCATTGTCCAATAACAAACACCTTTCTAAATGTATAAAAGGAAACGGGTAAAGGCAGAAGTTCTGTGAAGGGAACAATAAAGGAAGCATGCCTGGGGCATCATGGACAGAACTCTTGCAGGCAAGGTGATCCCTTGCCTACAAGTGAATCGGTGGGTTTTGTTTCTTTTGGTTTTTTGTTTTTGTTTTTGTTTTTGGTGGAACTGTATTAACACATGGGAAGATACATGATGCAGGAGGTGGGGAGGAGATAGGCAGAAGTGAGGAATATGTGATGTGCCAGGGTCAAGTCTAGGGCTAGGAACAAGGGAAAGATCACACACCCCTGTGATTTTTTGAAAGAAGAACTTACAGGGGAATGGATGAAAAAGAGGGGAAAGGTAAGGAAAGGAGTGAGCCTTTGCTATGACAGTGGGAGGAAATTCCCTTGATGAATCTTCCTGTGGGTAAAGAGAGATGGTCTGTGAAGGGAGATTGGAGACCTTGCACTGGGTGTGGCCTGAGATATTTGGTGCTTGAAAAGTCTCCTTGTCTTACCTCAGGAATGGGGCTTGGAATTCCAGGAGGCAACTAGCACTTGGAGTGAGGGAGCATGGACCCAAAGAGGAGATTTTAAAGCAAAATTTCAGGGGGAGGAGGGGGAAGATAAGCAAGAATGGTTATAGATCAGTGGTGGTTTAGATAATGAGAGATGTGGTGGAGAAGGTGCCCTAGTGAGTCACA